AAAAAAAAAAAAAAAAAAAAAATGAAGAAGGAAAGAAAGCAAAAACGGAGACAGCTGCTTCCTGAAAAGAAATGGAATGCCATTCCCTTTATCATGCCAATTTTACAGAATGCTCCCAAATGGCTAGCCAAACACCAGCCTCTGTTTAAGGTTATTTTCTGTAGCTGCTACGGAAAATAACATTTGAATGTGTGGGAGTCATGGAGCCAATCTCTTCACATATCTGGCTGATTACAACGGAGTTCAGATATACATTCAACATTGCTCAACGTGATGTGTCTACCGTTGTCTTCAATAAGCTGACTACTTTTGTTATAAAAACAATAGAGCACGTTATTCAAAAATACGGTTTTTAGAACTTGAAATCCCGTGAAAGCGATGTAATGATCGAACAAATTATGGAGTGCTAATGTCTGAATAAAATGTAATCTTGTTACAGTTTCCTGAAGCTACTCAGCATTTTTTGCATGTTCATTAAGAAATCAGTGTTTTCTAGTTTGAGCTTGATGCCTTTCCTCATGGTATATAAATAACCAGAATTAAGGAAAATTGTCCGGAAGAACATGAGTAGATCTCTATTTCTAGATTTGTATCGGATATTTATCTATAGGTCTAATCCAGCCAACTAGTCTATCCAAATTTCTATCTATTCAGCTATCTATAACACATTTATGTAGATGGACATAAATGGATCCCAATTTCAACTTATGTTGTGTGAATATAGATGAATAAAGTTAACCCTGGAAAATTCTTCTAGCAAATCTGAAAGAATCTATTGACCACTTACTTGGAAGGATATAGCTGTGGGGAGTATTGATGCGCTGATCTGGGGCTGTAGCCACTACTAGTTATTACTGTAAGACACAAAAACCAGTGCAAAAAAAGTTGCTTCATAAATACGTTTCACTAGGATGAAAAAACCAATTTGAAGACATTACTGTGCTAAAGCGATGTTTCTTAAAATTCACACACTTTCTAAACGGAAAAATTTCATTTTCTAAACAGACACAGATGCCTAAACATCTTATTCTAATTGAACGGTTTCAAGTTTGTTGTAAGAGAATGAAATTAATTCTTGTCACAAACCCTTTCTCTCTGTCACTCTTCTGCTCTCTCACATCAGTAGCATCCTCTTTTGTATGAATACGTATGAATAATTATCTTTGATTACAGGTACTCAAGTTCTCACGATGTAAAAGTCCATTTTTAATGTTTACAAACTTTATGTTTTAAATTCCAAATATACGACAGCAACGTACTGTTCTTCCTCCACATTTGTTCTACTAAAATTTTAAGAAAAACGTGAAGTCCCAACCTGCATTTCGAAATTGCAAAACACTATCATTTTCTATTTCCTCTCCTTGTACCAATCGCAGGAGTAGTGAGAAATGCCGAGTCCGAGATTTTCAAATAGTAGTTGGAATATGGATAGAAAGCGTGAGTGATAATGCGCCACTTCTTAAGAAACACGTTTGCAAGGTACGGCAGCCATCATATTTACAAATATATTCTCAACTATCACAGAGAGTACGCTTTTGGGAAGAACGTCAAGGTGAATGTTGGGTCCTATTAACGTTTCGTCCCAAACTGGAATACATTCAGAAGTTTGGAAGTTTCTCTTTCCTTTAACCATCTGCCTTGACTAAGACAGATGTATTGCAAATACATGGACTCCAAAGTGTTCAGGCAGGTCCCTCAGAGCCAATCCATACTGGGCAAGCACACAGAGTGTCTTTATTAGGCCATCTGCTGTTCATTCACTTTTCAAAAAGATTAAAGTAGTACACAAGGCAGCGCTGGAATTAGTTTAGTCTAATCAATCATGGTTATACTTCAAAGTACTATGTCCCTTCTAAGTTGTTCATAATAATACTGGAGCTAAACTCTTCGAATTGTAAAAGTGACAAATAGGTTTAGGTTGCTAACTATTTTATGAAACATGATCTATTTCCATATCCAAATGCTATTAAGTACCCTTGTGATCTGTCATTTCATAAACACGTAGGATTGAATATATTTAAAATGCTATTTGGCCTGTAAGTTCTGAGTATGGAAAGTATGTTATAGTTTTCATAGCAATCGTGCAGGAAGTATGTTTTCAAAGATACTATGAATCATTTTGGAAAATCATTGAATATGACTAGAGGTGTGTTGTGTTCTACCAAGCAAACTTTAAGTGAACTAGCCATACGTATTTGAAAATAAACGGACCAATGAACTATTTTCTACTTATGTATTAACATAAAGGCATTAGCATTAGGCTGCCTTGTGTAGGATGTTAATGTGTTGATGTGTTAATGTCTCTTCATGTTTAAAACTTTGAAATCAATTTCATGAGAACAAGTTAGTTGTTGTTGTTGTTGTGTCGTTGTTGTTGTTTTACCACACCACAGGCACTAAATGTATATTACACAATAGCAATAGTGTTATTCCACAGAAAATCCAGTGTGATTAATTAGCTCACAATAGTGAACGCTCTGTTTGGCAAAAATAGAGTTAAATGAGGCATAACTCCATGTGTTTTTGTGTCTTATTTATAACACGGTGCTTTGGCACACTCAAGACTTTACAGTAATCAGTTCTTCTCAAGATTGTAAATCACAAGGCTTTTCCGAAGGGACATCAAATAATGAAAAGAACCATTCACCACAGCAGCTTTTATAAAATGAGCTGAAGAGCAAAATTATTTCAGGAAAAAACAAAACCTCCCATATATCTGAATGAATCTGAATATACAGGATGCTTCCTCCCTCGAATGAATGAATCTAGACAATCATGAAAATAATGTACCCATGCCAGTGTCAAGACTCAACCTTTGAAATGTCATAGTAATGTCTTTATATTCACTTTCTAAACAGAATGCAAAACCGTTGGCTCAGAAAACTGACACGTTCACATAAAACTTGGAGAGCTGGTGCTTCTTCACTAAAATTGACATATGTATTCTAACTCATGGATCTGCAGATAACAAGAAACAACAAAATGTGGCTGAAGTGGGGTGAGATTATGCTGACCAAAGTAAAGTCCGTTTCTCCACAGGGCAGTCTTGTCTCCAGTAGGGTTTCTGGAGATACCGTGTACAGATTTGGGAGACTTTCCTTTTATTCCCCATTGTCATTTAATTAATTAAGAGACATTACCCAAAGCACTCGGCTCATTATACTTCATCATCGCTGCACATAAAAGTAAGGAACCTGCTTGTTTTCAAAATGTCCTGAGAATTAATTACAACAAATTTCTATACAATATTACCAGATTCTCAGAGGGTGATGCAAACAATTTTAAGGTGTTACTCTAATTACTGTGACACCTTAGATCAGTGACTCTCAATGGAGTGGCCGATGGGGAGTGAGGTAGGGGGGTCGGCAGGAATTTTGCCTGCCGGGGGACATTTAAAATGTCTGGAGACATTTTTGGTTGTCATACTGCCATTCTGGGATAGATGATAGGGGTGTTGTTGAACATCTAACAATGCAGATGACAGATCTTCCACTAAAAAAAAAAAAAGTTACCCAAATTTTTAATAGTACTGCTGTTGAGAATCCCTGACCTGGAACATTGTCCAGAAGAACCTCGTCCGTGGTGCTGGAAATATTCTGTATCTGAGCTGTTCAACGTGGTGGCCACTAAAAGGTCACATGCAGCTATTAAACGCTTGTAATGTGACTGGTGTGACGAGAGACACAATTTTTACTTTTAAAGCCAAATTTTCAATAATTTACACTTAAATAGCCACATATGGCCAGTGACGACTGGACAGCACAGCCCTGGATAATTCTTAAATGAAAACTGGCAAACTATTTGTAAAGATAATGTGACTGAATTTTAGACAGGATGACTGTTTACAGCACTTTTGTTTTCCAGTTCTGTATTTTCCAATGAGGTCTTCCAGAAGTCATGGCCAGACTGATCAGAACACTGTTCTGTACTCATTTATACCAGTGACCAGCTGGGAGGCCTGGACCGTCTGGCCTTAACCACCTTTAACTTATCTGTGTCTCTGTATTCTCGCCTATAAAACAGATCAGAGACCTCCATAATTCTTTCTGGAGCTACCATTGTACGATTTTGTCACTTAGCTTTCAATTAGCTGGTGGTATACTATTTAAGGATGTCAGCAATTAGTGATTCCGTTCCTTTCCCTAAAAATGTGTTCAGAAGCATTCGCTCTGCAAAAAGTTTACAAGGGATATGGTAGGTGAACAATAAAGAATGCTAGAGTAAGCTGGTACCTATCTATCTCCTGGGAGGCAAGTGAATTGCTAGAAGGGATACAGATTAGCACATGTGAGTTTCTATGCAGACTCTATGAATTATTACCTCTCTCTGTCTGGGGTACTAATATTTATATGAATACCTGGTAACTGCCCCCGATCAGTGTGTGAACAAATGAACTGGGATCATCTGTATCTATAAAAATCAAATGCATGCTACAATGATATTATACTCAAGGATATACCTCAACTCTTTTCACATAAAACCTTTGTACGTGAGAATACGGATAAAACATAAGACATTTTACAGTCGAATAACAGAATCAAGATGTAATTACCACAGATACTCTTCTAGGTTTACTGTTCATCTTTGTGCTATTCAAGTTCCTCCTCAGGTTTAAAAAAAAAAAAAAAAATCCTTTCACCGGATCATAAATTAAACAAAATAGCGGAACTTAAAATCTTTAATGAAGTCAACTTAATGCGCGTCCTTTGGGCCCACCTGGGAGTTATCAGGTATTTATATTTAAAGGGATTGACGTTTAAAGACACACTATTGTTCTCTTTGAAGCACTGAGTCAAAGTAGTGCTCTCAGGCTGGGTTCTAATGCAACCAGCATGTGTCTTCCTGCAGCCCATTAACCTTTAATACTTGTCACTCAGCTGCTTACACAGGAGGATTTTTTTAAACCCGGAGAGGAAACAAGGTTATTTAGAAGGAATCAAATGGATAGTTTTACATCTCGAATGTTGGGAGAGAAGGGGGTTTTTAATGCCATTTAAATGGACAAGTTAAGGGAACAAAGGCAACTATTACAACCTAATTATCAAATTAAACACTGTATAAAATAATTACAAAGGGAGCCAGCTCTGCCTATTTCTAACAAGAACGGCAGAGGGTTGTCTTGCTGGCCACTGAAAATCCAGCAACACGATTCCAGACAGAATTTTTAAAAAATATACAGGGTTGCGACAGTAAGTTCTCAAGAAAGTAAGCCTCTTGCTAAGTTTGGAACAGTCCGCATTCTCAAAACTCCGCTTTGGTATTTATGCCGCATGTTCGCTAGGAAGACCATGTGTATGTACCCCGATGTGTACGTAGCAACACATGAGCTTAAGGCTTTACCTGACCCAGTAAAAGTGTCAAGGGCTCCATCTCCAGAGGTGGTGGCCGCTTCACTGCTGTTCAAAGGCTCTGTTTTGACTGCAAGGAGAGACACTATGTAGAAGAATAAGTACATGTGAGTTTGAATTCTAAATTTTTATCAAAGACGCTGACTGTTCCACTAGTGGTTTTTCACGCTACCATGGGCATGCAAGAGAAAACTTGAGAAGTCGATGAGGAGAGTTTTGTTAATTTAGCTTCTAGAAAGTGGGCATGCATTTATAGAGGATTCAGTATGAGAGTCCTCTGCCTAAGCTAGTTCTCTCAGATCCGGTTTTTCAAGGCAGTCAACCTTGAACAGGGAACCGGCAGTACACTTATTTGCATGTGCAACTCACCTAGGCACACGCTGGGATTACAGTCACAAGACAGAAAAAGGGAATCACAGTCTTCAGCACATTTCATCCAAATCATAACAAAGAGATTTACTAGCTTATATTTTATTCTTCCCGAGGAGATATTAAAAAGAAGAAAAAAAAAAAGACTGACTGCCTGAGAGGACAATGGAGGCAAATGCAAATACAGAAACCATGGACCTGTTCCGGTGACGGGTAGAAAATGAGGCACTCAGTAAATTTCTGCTCTAAAAAATACTAAAGAGTCCTAAGATGTTGGGCTTTTTATTTTAATGGTATAACAATTTTTTTTTTTTTTTAAATTTTTTTTTTTTCAACGTTTATTTATTTTTGGGACAGAGAGAGACAGAGCATGAACGGGGGAGGGGCAGAGAGAGAGGGAGACACAGAATCGGAAACAGGCTCCAGGCTCCAGGCTCCGAGCCATCAGCCCAGAGCCTGACGCGGGGCTCGAACTCACGGACCGCGAGATCGTGACCTGGCTGAAGTCGGACGCTTAACCGACTGCGCCACCCAGGCGCCCCGTATAACAATTTTTATTGCATTACAGAGCTAAGCAGAGAGACAGAGATAATTTCTACAGCAGCAAGTACATCTTCTGAAAACCCTTTAATGTGTTATTTCTACTTTGAAGTGGTGTGTTTGGCCAAAATCTTCACTTGGGAATGATGTAGGCTGGCATTTATAATTGTCACTACTAGATGCAGTGAGTGGGGGAGGGGAGCCGTGAAAAAGCCTCCACCTGTTTTTGTCACACCATATTTTCCCTTCGTGGGCAACGCTCTGCTACATAGATCACAGCAGCAAGGGGATAAACTAAATGATTTTCTACTTAACACCTCTTATGCTTCCTGGTCATAAATGGGATGATAAAGTGAAAGAAGTTAGAAGCAAGCAGAAAACTATAAAGAAGAAAACTGAAGACTTGCCAACCAAGAGCAAACGTGACCAAAAGAATAGTGGGGTCAGAGCGTCCCCATCAACCAAGCCAGTCAGCAAAGTTACTCTGTTAGAAAAGCAATTAACTGATGGAGAAACATGCAGTAATGATTATGCTCTCTTTTCACATGGACAGAATGGACCGGACCCTCCCTCAGTGAGCCCTGAGGTTAATTTAGCATCCATGATTTAATAATATCATGAAGATCTGATGAAAGATTCAGAGGAGAACTGCAAAGGTCGGAATGAAGAAGTAAAGAAATCTGGATTACTTATCTCAGCAAAAAGGAAGTGTAAGGTTGACCTATTATTCAATAGCAAAGATAATCTAAGAATTAGTGTCTAGTTACTTGTAGGATGATAAATAATGAACTGGTGGTTAATACTTTACAGTAGTGATTTGTGGAGCAGTCCATGTACATTATACTCGACTACTAATTATATTTAACACAACAGAATTATTTACTACTACAAAATCATGTATCAATAGCTTGCTATGTGCTAGACCATTTACACTTAGCTAATCGTTAAAACAACTCCCACCAGTGTGAACCACTTTATCCATTTTCCACCACAGGAAGCTGCTGAAGGGCGGGCTCGAGAGCTTGCATATGTTCTACTGCAGGAGAGGAGGGAGCTAAGATCTGAACTCAGGTCTTTTTAGCTCTACATCCACAATCTCTCCACCATAACCAGCTGCCTTCCTTTAGGCATGAAAATGGCATAATTGTTCCCAGCAGGGACTCTTTACAAAGGCTCCGAGAGTGATAAGAATGGGGTTATCCCCTAGACAGCATACTTAAGAAAACTACGTTGGGGCGCCTGTGTGGCTTATCCTGTGAAGCGTCTGACTTCGGCTCAGGTCAAGATCTTGCGGTTTGTGAGATTGAGCCCCCCCCCCGTCGGGCTGTCGGCTGTCAGCACAGAGCCAGCTTCATACAGATACTCTGTCTCCTTCTCTCTCTGTCCCTCCCCCACTCACATTTTCTCTCTCTCTCAAAAATAAACATTAAAAAAAAAAAAGAAAGAACACTATGCTAAAAATGAAAACTGTGAGGCACACCTCAGTGACTCAGTCGGTGAAGCATCTGACTCTTGATCTTGGCTCAGGTCATGATCTCACAGTTTGTGAGTCTGAGCCCCGCACAGGGCTCCGCACTGATGGTGTGGAGCCTGCTTAGGATTCTGTCTCTCCTTCTCCCCGCCCCTTCCCTGCTTGTGCGTGCTCCCTCCCTCTCCCTCTCCCAATAAGTAAATAAACTCTAAAAATTTAAAAAAAAAAAAAATGAAAAATGAAAACTGCAAAATACGGGAATAGGCTACTAAAGTATGGTTTCCGTTTCTCACAAAATCTTATAAAAGACAATGAGCAGCCAGTTTGAAAGCAGATAAAAACAGCACACACTTCAAAGATACTTAACCATGCCGGGTGCTGTTGCTGTGCCTTACAGATATGAACTCATTTCTTTCTCATGACAATCATATGAGGTAGATAATATGACCATCTTACTTCTTCTAGATAATGATACTGAAGTACACAGTAGCTAAATAATTTTCCTATAGTCACACAGCTAGTAAGAGCTAGAGTTCGATGGTTTCGGAATCCAGATTCTAAACCCTACTGCCGGACAGGAAGCACTAACTAATCGAGAATCCCTTTCATCTGTATGATGACCCACCCAGAGTGTGACCTAGATGGATGTAAAGCTCTCTCTGCGATGCAACGTCCACTTGTGACTTCTGACAAAAAAAGCAGAGTCCGAAGCCTTCCTCAAAACTCATACAAGAAGACAGTCTCTCGAAACTTCCAAATTCTAATACTGGCTAATTTCCTAAATCTATAAATAATACTTGTAAAATAGATAGTATTACATATTTGTGAATAGAGGAGAAAGGAGCAGAACGTGAGCTGGGTCTACGAAAGTAGTCCAGGAGCCAGACACAGGGATTAGTTATGTTACTGTGGATCCCAACTTTGTATTGATAGTGATTATAATGTCCTCAATTTGAAAGTTTCAGATGGTCAAAGGAGAAGGAAGAAAAGGGAGACAAAGAGTTTGTGGTTGCATTCATTATAGTGGAAACATCTCTCATTAAAATTTTAAAGGTCTGCATTTAGTCAAAGACAGACAGAGAAGTTTCATTTTACTGAGAAAAGGCATCCGTAGAAAGTACGTGAAGTAAAGCGTAAATGTCAAGGTATGTTCAGTGTACTAACATGCATGGGTTTTAAAGCAATCACTCAACAAATGGGTGTTAACATTTGGGGAAAAACTGCACATTAATGCTCATCTATTTTTCATATGCAGATAAGAACAAAGGGGAAAAGAGGGAACTTTAATTACGCTACCACAGAAAATAAAGTATTCTCAAGTTAAGTGGGTGTCAACAAACATCTCTTGAGCTTCAAGTAAAATGCAGTTATTTTGGTTTGTTTTTTTTAAAAAAAACATCAAATAATGATCAATAATTTGCTTTTTCAGGGGCAGGAAACTTAAGAGAAGTGAAATGGATATTCTGTATATGATTCGTTGGTTAGAAAGATGTTAGGATATGAATGAGTATCTTAATATTTATAATAAAACAGGTAACTCGTCTAAAGAAAACACTACTTTAATTATAAAGTTTGAACACTGCAGGTCATTTTCAGTAAAGGTCCAAATATATTTGAAATGTATTCCATTTTTGTCTTGCTTTTGTTTCTGCACTGGAAATTGATATACTATATACTTTTGTAGTGGCAGGCAAAATTTTTTTAGTTACATATGTGTAAGGCATTACTAGAAAGATAGCCATCAATGAAATATCTTACTGTTTTCTAAAACACACAAAATCCTCATTCCAAATGATTATCAGTGTATATTCAGTGTCATGTTCAAATGTATTTTTTTCTGACTGTATTTCATTTTTCTCAAATTAACATAGAGGTTCAATAGGGCTTTGAACTTATCAGGACAATGTACACAATTATTACATACTATAAAGTGGAAGGGACACTTAAAAAAATTTTTTTTAACATTTATTTATTTTCAAGACACAGAGACAGAGTGAAAGTGGGGGAGGGGCAGAGAGAGAGAGGGGGAGACACAGAATCCGAAGCAGGCTCCAGGCTCTGAGCTGTCAGCTCAACGCGCAATGCGGGGCTTGAACCCACCAACAGTGAGATCATGACCTGAGATGAAGTTGGACGCTTAACCTACTGAGCCACCCAGGCGTCCCTGGGACAATCTTTTATAAGAGATAGACATATTTTTCAACAAAATGAAATTTACAAATGTTTTGATATCAAAAATAATGATCATATTTTACTGCCCTTAAGAGTATTGTGGTTTTTGCCCTTCTATATGTTCAAAATAAGTAATTTAGGATCCAGGATTAATCCAGTAGTTCAGGGTTTCTCTTACAATGCAGTGAGAAACTATAGATAGCCCTTTGTACAGAACTTATTATTCAAGAAGTATTTGTATTGTCAGCACCCTGCTACTACTTATGCATTTACAATTTGGATGTTTTTCAGAGAGCATTGGAAACACTGGGGAAAAAAAAGAAAAAAGTCAAAATAATTTTAATATATTGATTTTAATATATTGGTATAATTGGCTTTTATTTTTTACCTTCAAAGATAATTGATATCTATGGATTAAATCAAGATTGTATGTGATTCTTGTCAGCTTTCAGCTATGGCTACACTGATTTCCTCTCTTCATGCCTCAACCTTCACCCAGACCCTCCTATG